CCGGAAAAGATTCCCCGCTAAGTCTAGCGGAAAAGTTTCCCCGTTAAATTTAGCGAAAAATTCTCCCCGCTAAATTTAGCGGAAAATTTTCCCCACAAAATATAGCTTAAAATGTTCACCACTAAATCTAGAGGAATATTTTCCCCGCTAAATTTAGCGGAAAAATTGTGGGGTTCAGGAAAGACGTCCGTCGATGCAAATTAACAAACTGATCTTTAAAACCGCAATAAAAGTGAAAAAGATCATCAAAAGCGGGCTCCGCTGAGACCGCCCTGCTGCACCGTCGAACGCTGCCAGTCTCGTGCTGTTTTGTTCGAGCCCGGAGCTCGGTCCCATCGGTGCTGCTCGTGCCGCACGCTTAAAACGTCAATAGGGAGTTTTCGTAGGCCGCGTTTCCCCCTCCGCTAAGCCCTCCGCAACGAAAGAGCCGCTACTGCGCCGGCGCGCCGATGGTCTTGACTGTAGAGTTCCGGCTAGCGTAGCTGGTTGCGGAGAGCGTTGCGGGACAGCAGAAACGATCTACGAAAATACCCTATTAGCTCCAGACGTTGCGTGAGCCACCACAATAAGTGTCGCGCGTTGGCACCAGAGGTCGGCATTTTAGGTCGCCCTCACTCACCCTCACCCTCACAGCCACACTCACCTAAGCCCCTCACTCACCCTCACCCTCACAGCTACACTCACCTTCAGCCCCTCACTCACCCTCACCCTCACAGTCACACTCACCTTCAGCCCTTCACTCACCCTCACTGAACCTCACGCCCCTCACCGCCCTCACGGCCCTCACGCCCCTCACCGCCCTCACGGCCCTCACGCCCCTCACTCACTCATGGCCCTCACGCCACTCACCGCTCTCACGCCACTCACCGCCCTCACGGCCCTCACCGCCCTCACTGCCCTCACCGCCCTCACGGCCCTCACGCACTCATGGCCCTCATGCCCCTCACCGCCCTCACGGCCCTCACGCCCCTCACTCACTCATGGCCCTCACGCCACTCACCGCCCTCACGCCACTAACCGCCCTCACGGCCCTCACCGCCCTCACCGCCCTCACCGCCCTCACCGCCCTCACGGCCCTCACGCACTCATGGCCCTCACACCCCTCACGCACTCACCGCCCTCACACCACTCACGCACTCATGGCCCTCACGCCACTCACCGCCCTCACGCCCCTCACGCACTCACGGCCCTCACCGCCCTCACGGCCCTCACGGCCCTCACCGCCCTCACGGCCCTCACGGCCCTCACCGCCCTCACAGCCCTCACGGCCCTCACGGCCCTCACTCACCCTCACACTCATGAATTTTCGTGGTTCAGAAACTCACTCACCCTCACCTCACCTGTGAAGATGAGGGTGAGTGAGGGTGAGTGAGGGCCCTCATGAGTGAGGTTTGCCGAGGTATGGTTGGCACTACAAATTTTCTCCGATAAATCCAGCGTGAAAATTTTCCGCTAGATTTAGCGGGGAAGCTTTTCCGCTAGGCTTTGCGGTGCAAATTTTCCGATAAATCTAGCTGGGAAAAATTTCCGCCAGATTTAGCGGGGGAAATTTTCCGCTAAATATAGTGGGGAATATTTTCCGCTAGATAGAGTGGGGAACATTTTTCCACTAAATTTAGCGGGGAAAATGTTCCGCTAGATTGAGCAGGAAAAATTTTCCGCTAAATTTAGCGGGAAAACTTTTCCGCTATATTTAGCGGGGAAGCTTTTCCTCTAGACTTTGCGGGGCAAATTTTCCGATAAATCTAGCTGGGAAAATTTTCCGATAGATTTAGCGGGGAAACTTTTCCGCTGAATATAGCGGTGAACATTTACCGCTAGATTTAGGGAGAAAATTTTCCGCTAGATTTAGCGGGACAAATTTTCCGCTAAATCCAGCTGGGAAGATTTTCCGCTAAATTTAGCGGGGGAAATTTTCTGTTAAATATAGCGGGGAAAATATTCCGCTAGATTTAGCGGGAAAAATTTTCCGCTAGATTTAGCGGGGAAGCTTTTCCGCTAGGCTTTGCGGGGCAAATTTTCCGATAAATCTAGCTGGGAAAATTTTCCGATAGATTTAGCGGGGAAAATTTTCCGCTGAATATAGCGGTGAACATTTTCCGCTAGATTTAGGGAGAAAATTTTCCGCTAGACTTAGCAGGACAAATTTTCCGCTAAATCCAGCTGGAAATATTTTCCGCTACATTTAGCGGGGGAAATTTTCCGTTAAATATAGCGGGGAAAAATTTCCGCTAGATTTAGCGGGAAAACTTTTGCTCTAGATTTAGCGGGGAAGCTTTTCCGCTAGACTTTGCGGGGCAAATTTTCCGATAAATCTAGCTGGGAAAATTTTCTGATAGATTTAGCGGGGAAAATTTTCTGCTGAATATAGCGGTGAACATTTTCCGCTAGATTTAGGGGGAAAATTTTCCGCGAGACTTAGCGGGCAAATTTTCCGCTAAATCCAGCTGGGAAGATTTTCCGATAAATTTATCGGGGGAAATTTTCCGTTAAATATAGCGGGAAAATATTTCCGCTAAATTTAGCGGGAAAATTTTCCGCTAAATTTAGCGGGGAAAATGTGCCACTAGATTTAACAGTAAAAATGTTCCGCTAGATTTAGCAGGGAAAATTTTGTGCTAGATTTAGCGGGGAAATTTTCCGCTAAATTAGGCGGGGGAGTTTGCCCATCATGCACCGCGTGGTTACGCCGAAGCCGCTTAAGCCGGAAACGGGTGCCTAAGAGCTGCTCTGTAAAAAGAGTAACCAACATATCAATTAAGCCTCGTCAATAGTGGCACTAGTAAATCAAAGTAATCACATAGTGAACAAATTATCAATTGCTCCCCCAAAAATTCAAATTGTATAAACAATTATTCTAAGTTACCAAATGTGTAAGCAAAACACGACCACTGAACATGATAAGTGCATATATATATTGTGGATTAAATTGGCTGATCCCTGGATTAAATTGTGTGGCGCTTGGATTAAATTGTATGGCGCTTGGATTAAATTGAGTGACCCCGGGATTAAATTGGTCGTCGGTTGGATTAAAATGAGCGGGAAAACCTGTAGTAGTGGTAAATCCGAAAGAATGAAACAAAAGAACACAATGGAACGAAAGCAGGCACGTATAGGATCACTACTCCGTAAGCGCATATTTATTCTTACTCACCCCAGCGGGGCAGACCTCCCTAAGCAAAAATAAAAGGAAATAAATAAAAAAAAAAGAAATAAAAGAAGGAAAATCGAAGAAAAGAGAAAACAGAATAGCGAAAATCAAAGAGAAAAACGTTCAGCCTTTCCACTTTGGGGAAGGGAGACTAGCGAAGCTGTACAATGGTGGGAATGAAGTAATGGCCGTCTGTTAAAGGGGCACTGACACCCCAAAGGTCGTATTTATTTTTATTGTCTAAAACGATGCAAGTTGCAGTCATAGAAACGCAAAAAAAAACCGCATCGCGAAAAAAAATTTTCCCGCGCGCGCGCGCGCCTTTTTATTTTTGGCGTTTGATTTTCCCGCCTCTCGCCTCCTCGCTTTTTTTGATCGGTGACGTCAAAAATCAGGAAATTTAGAAGCTTTGTAGGCGACATCTCTATAACATTTAATTACGGCAATTCTAAAACATGTTTTTTAACGCAATTGCGAACGCACTACGGCCCTTCTTTTTGAAATACCAAAAATCGGGAGTTCGTTGTGGTGCCGTCTCCTGGATTTGTATCCTACAACGGAAAACAGGCGACACCGCTCAAAACCGGTCCGCCTCAACGCGGGCGCTCGCTCCTTTCCTCCTCGCTTTGGGTCGCCATGGCAACAGCCGGGAGTGGTGAAAGGAAGTCGACTCTCAGGTCTCCGCAATTTTTGACGTCAAGGCACCGGTGCCGATCGCGCGGGAACTTCGAATTCGGCATTTGGAAATTGTTTTTTTACTTCACAAATACTGAATTCCCAAATTTCAAATTTTGAGGGTAATGTCCCGGCATCGTTTTCAATCGTTTCGGATAATAAAAAGAATTATGATTTTGATGTGTCAGTGCCCCTTTAAGTCGGCAAGCCAGAGTGGAAAGGTTGCCGCGATTTATGAGCGACGGCGGGAAGCGGACAACCGGCAAACACAACACTCTGGACAGCTACCGCCATCTATGAGCGACGGCGGCAACCAGAGTGTTGTGTCGACATTTCTGTGCGGACGGACACGATCCTGGGGAAGCTATCCCTTAACAGCTCTGCTGTAAAAGGTCCATTCAATCCTGGTGTGGTGCGCATGAATAATTTTTTTTCTACCATTTTAAGGACCCGTGTGTCAGTCTTTCGTTACTTTTTGTGTCTTTGAATTTTAATACATTTACAATGCGCTCTCTCTTTCCTTTTGTAATGTGCAGAAACACCTATTTTGAAATTGGAAGTTCTGGCGCTATAGGTTGGCAACGCTGCAGTGCTCCACTTGTTGCCAGATGAGGTACTTGTTCTAGTACTTCAGTTTGTTACGGAGCTTTGGTCTCTGCATGAACATGTTGCTTGCTACCCTTTTGCTATTTTTTTTTAACGATGCCAAAATTGTTTATTTCTTCCTCCTAAAGGAATTTTTCTCCAGTATTTTGTTTTTCCGAGTTTTCTGAAAACTGCTATGTAGACTGCAAAAACAATTACATTAAGTAAGCGTAAGTAATGCGTAACGCAAGCGATTGGGAATATAGAACTCTCAGAATATGCTACGGTGGGTAATGTTGAATTTCCAAGCTCCACTCTAGTAGTGTGTAAGCATGATGGACACTATTGGCAAATACATAAGCTTCAAGAATATATAAAAAGGTTTTAAAACTACTAATACTTTATTGAAGGTGTAAATTAATTTTCTTCCTGGGTTACTTGGAAACTATTGAAGGTTTGTTGCGATGCCTTCTGACTTCATTATGAAAACACCCAGGTGCTTCTGGTCAATCCTGTACAAAATTCTTATTTAGAGTCCGATATATTTCTAATGCTGAGTTTACTTTGGCGAAAGAATTGAATAATTTACCCTCTCTGTCTTTGAGCCAAAACTTTGGAAGAGTTGAGTCAAAGTCTGGAGCTTCTCCGGTAGCGTAGGAGATCGGAACTTGCCAGAGGGTTCTAGAAAGAAGGCAGTGAGATGTCACACAACAGAAACAAGCGCACACGTCAGAAAATTTTACGAGTGAACAAGCGGAGAGTTCCCGATTTTGTCCACCCTTGTCGCCACGCTATGACAAAGGAGTGTTACGCGATGTGTAATGTTCTGGAAATTATCCGCGTTCTTCAGACATACAGGATCAAGAAGAGTAGTTATCCGAAGTTAGCCGGAGCGTCCAAATCTGCAGAACGCGTCCGTCTTTCTACCCGGTTTTTAAAGAACCAGATTGCACTTCATTCGGATAATAGGTTGTAAATTGAGCGTGAAGGGAGGTTGAAATATATGAGCTGCAAAACAAGTTGTGTTGAAAACAGCGAAAAGCACGCGGGCCATATGACTTAAATTATTAGGTCTTTATAAGGAGACTGTTGTAGAATGAGTTGTAAGTTTGGTGAGATTAAAGAATACATGTTGACAATTTGTTTGACAAGTTTTCAGCGAGAAAACAACAAAAACAACAACTGGGGCTGGGTTAAAATCGCGTATTTCATAAGCGTGTATAAGCGACTTGTAATAATTATAATTTTGTAGATCGGTAAGAGCTGGGTTCGCCATTATGGTTTAATGTTTCTAATATTTCAATGAGGAGGCGTAATATTTTCGGTCTTCTAGTCATTTTTGTCTGTCTTTAGTAGCACGTTTACCAAACGTATGTCACCACCAAAACGCCTGCTGTTGCTTTGGACTCAAACAGTTCCATTTGTAAAGTGTCAATTATATTTATTATATATATCAAAGCGTATTTTACACGCTGCTTAAAGGTTCTGACTGAGATAATATCAAAATATGGAATTAAATAAGCTTGTTGAACTATTCACGAGGTTCATTTATCAGCATATTTTTTAGGTACTTACATATTACCGAAATCACTGATATGTTATTTTGAACACTAAAAGTATCTCCTTGCTTTTGTCCAGTCCTTTTGTTCCAGTTTACAATATCTTTAAACTGATATTGATCAATCAGCATATAAATAACAATGTTAACAAGCACGCTCGGCCAAGAAAGTGAATGAACTAACAATTTTGAAAATATATGTTAGGAATCGAACTGCTTACGACACCTCATGGTCAACCCCGACAACATTAGAAAAAGCCCGCCAAATTACCGCACTAAAATGGGCTGGCAAAGAATAGTAATAGCAGGTGCACAACTCGCCTGGGTACGGCGCCGCTATCGCCAAAAATGAAGCGTTTTTGCGATACCACTGCGGTCTTCTCGGAGTAGGACCGGTTCAGGAAAATAACGGGATAGCCGCTTCTGGTCAGCCAGTGATTCATCACAGACGTTATGTTCACGGACAGGCGGCCGAGGAGGCTGCGTTGAACCTGCCAGAGCAACACGTCAATACTGCGTGCGCAATTTTAAAGGCGTTTTTTTTTCGCAATCAGTTTATTAGAAAACAAAATGCGTTATTGTGATGATGTGCATGCTGAAGGAACAGAAAAAAAAAAATGGCGACTCAAACACCACAAAAAGAACGGTGCGAGATATTCGCTGAGGGAGAGCCAGCGACCGACAGCCAGGCCAGGGCGCTCGGGGAGACGGCCCTAACCGGGACTGTCTGCAAGTCGCTGGAAACCAGGAACGCGCCGGACCAAATTCTAGTTTCCAAGGCAGCGAGCCAGAGAGACCTTCATACCCTCTCGGGCACACAAGAGACCCGAAGACCGATGTAAAAACAGCGACGTCTCCGCCTGAAAAACAGTGAACTGAACACTGCTGCCTCTGCTGTAAATATTTCGTTTTTATGTATCTTATTTGATGTACTACTATTGTTACGAGTAACCAAACATGTTTATTATGACTGAACACGCGGGCCGCCATTGCCCGCTGCCTAAAGGTCAGTGATCAGCAGCGCCTCGCAATGCTTTAATAGGAAGGGCCATCGATGTGCCCCCTGGTGTCTGCCCAGGCACGCGGCGGTATCCGCCGGCTGCAGCATTCCGACTCCCTAAAGCTGGGATGTCAAGGAGAAAACCTCTGCACAGCTCGTCGCACTCTGGTTTATATTTGGAATAGCGGAGATTGGTGGCAGCACTGGGATGTTGGGAGGAACGCTTTCTGCATTACTGTTTGAGGGAGCCGCTTCATTCGCTTCTTCCAGACGTTGTTGCACCGGCGCCGGCGGGAGCCGCGGCTCCATAACCTCAGCCTCCGCTGGGGGCTCAACTTCCGCCTCACCCTATCCCGCAGGTGGTCTCCATGGCAATTCCACACTGTACCATCTGGCAGCCGCAACTCCGTTGACGATGCACTGGATAGCCCAGCCGACAACCGCGGGCACCCAACAGGGACCTGGCCGAAAGTTCCTTGCCCAAACAGGATCCCCTGGTTGTTGCCCTCGTTCCCTCCTGGCTGACCGGTCGCCGAGCACCTTCTGCTGCATCTGACGAAACTGGACCTTGCTCCTAAGATCCGGTTGCAGCAAGTTCAATAAAGTTTTAAGACGCCTACCCATGAGCTGTTTCGCCGGAGAGCGTCCTGCAAGGCCATAAGGAGTGGTGCCGTATGCAAACAGCACTCTAGCACTCCGTTACTTAAAAGCTCCTGGTTGGGTGTTGTTCAGCTTTTCTTTCACCGTCTGGACTACTCTCTCGGCGGCGCCGTTGGATGCTGGATGATATAAAGGAACCAGAATCTGCCACACTCGGTTACGAGGCCGAAAGTCTTGTACAGAAAGCTTGTGAACGCAAGACCGTTGTCGCTCACAACTACATGTGACAGTCTATGGATTGCGAAAATCAACCGCAGACACGAAAGTGTATCCTCTGCTGAAAAAAAACAACACACGGACTACCTCCACCCACTTAGAGTAAGCATCTACCAGTACCAAAAAGTATGCCCCTCAAATGGACCCTTAAAGTCCAGATGGAGGCGAGACCATTGCCGCTCATGAAACGGCCACGGAGTTTTCTGGACGGCTCTTGTAGCCTTGCGATGCACCTGGCAGACTAAACACGTGTTCACGCTGGTCACGATGTCCTCATCGATGCGTGGCCACCATACATGACTTTGGCCCACCAGTTTCATCTTCTCAACCCCCGGGAGGCTCTCGTGTAGCAGATCCACAACTGCCGTCCGCAGCGATGCTGGTATAACCACACGACTTCCCTGCAGCGCACAGCCCTCCATAACAAAGAAGTCTTCCAAACGGCTGGCAGACGGTCGCCATTCGGCTCCAGGTGGCGGGTGACCACCAGACCACAAGGCGTCACGCGATGCAGTCAGCATCGGACCTCGGCCAGTCGCCGTGATCCGACGGCTCTCTCCAACATAAAGACATCCTGAACTCTTGCCTCCTCCACCGGTGTAAACAGAAGTGACAGCCGCCTCAATGCATCAGCATTGCAGAAGCTGGATTCTGGCCTGTAGGACAGCTTTTAGTTGTAGCAACACAGTATCAATGCCCATCGCAGCATTCGAGGCGAACACTGCAAAGGAATGCGACAGTCCTGCCCGGTCAGACCCAACAACACCCAACAACGGCGTCCGTAAACACTTCCACTTGCCGACCCCACACAAACTGGTGAAACATTCCAAAAACCACGACCAAAGCCTCTACGTCCATTTGACTATAGTTCTTATTTGCTGCTGTTAACCCGACGTGACGCAAATGCCACAGGTCGCACTGCTCCAAACTCCGCTCGGTGCTTGAGTACTGCTCCAATGCCATATGGCGACGCATCACAGCACAACAATAACGGCAATTTGGCATCATGATAAACCAACACTTCAGCTGATGTCAGCAACTTCTTACTTGCTTCAAATGCTGCCCTTTGCTCTGCTCCCCACGGCCACAATGCTTCCTGCTCGAGCTATAGATGCAAAGGACGCAAAACGAATGACAAACTCGGTAGAAACCGCCGGTAAGCATTAAGCATCTTCAAATAACTCTGCAGCTCACAAACATCAGTCGGCAGGGTTACACGAACAATGGCCTCGACTTTCTTGGGCGCAGGGTACAACCCGTCCTTGTCAATGACGTAGCTCAAATACTCCACACTTGACGCCCCGAAAATGCACTTCTGCAGCTTGAAGTTCATCCCCGCAGCACACAGTCGACGCAGCACCTCTTCCAAGTTACGGTGATGGGCTTCTTCTGTAACTGCCGTAACCAAAATATCGTCGAAATAAATGACTGCCTGATAACATTCCTGTAGAAGGTTCTTCATCTCGCGTTGAAAAATCACGGGTGCCGACGCGACCCCAAAGGGAAGACGATTGTACTGAAAAAGCCCACGCTGGGTGTTGATGGTTGCGCACGTTTTTGAAGCCTCGTCCAGCTCGACCTGTTTTTAGGCGTCCCGGAGATCCAATTTTGAGAACATCTCGCCTCCCGCCAGCTTCATCTAGATATCTTCCACCATTGGCACTGGATACGTCTCGATGTCAGCAGCCTGGTCTCGATATTCGCTGCCGGGTTCACAGTGTTCTTGAAATTCCCATATAACCATATGTTTCCATCTTTCTTCAACACCGGAACCAACGGTGCTGCCCATTCCGATGTGCGTACAGGACTCAGGATACTTTCACGCTCCAACCGCTGAATCTCTTGAGCCATCAGATCCTGCAGTGTGAACGGGACTGCTCTCGGCCGAAAGAACCTCGGTCTAGCATCCTCAGGCACTCTTATTTTGGCCTTGACGCCACGCAATGTACCCAGTCCTTCTGAAAACAACTCGGGAAAATTGCCCCCAAGTCGTCTGCACCATCGACCCGATTAACGTCCAGCAAGCTGTTCAGGGCATTCTGAAAGCACTCGACCAATTCCTTCCAAAAAGGGCCCGGGAACCGCCCCTGACAACAAACAAGGGCAGCCGGGCCTGCCTTCCTCCAAACTCGGCGTTCACTGTCGCCTTTCCGACAACTGCCGACTGCTGCCCGAAGTAGCCTCTCAACTTGACGTCGGACTGCTCGAGTGCCGTCCCCAGAAAACGCCTTGCGAACTCCGCCTCGTGCATCCCCGAGTAGACGGTCACCGTGTCCACTTCTATGCGTACCGACTGACCCTAGACGGTCACACTAGCACATATGGGCGGCACTCGCGGTTCCAGAACATCCACGTTTCCGGTTTGTGCAACAGCAGCAGCTGCCGCTTCGAGTTCCAGCGACCACGAAATTCCGACGTCGTTCACCCCGGCTTCGTCATCGAACGCGTCTACCGACATCACGGCTCGATGAGCGTTGTGCGTCCCAGGTTCGCCCCGCAACTGTGCGCTCTTGTTCGACGGGTCTCCTGGACTCCTGCCCCTACCTTGATTAGTCGGACATCTTGCCGAATGCCCCTTCTTGTGGCACGAGAAACACCGCAGATTACGGAACCTGCATGACGACTCGGGCTGCCGTCCACAGCATCGATTACAGTCTTCGACTGTCTCGTAGACCGATACCCGGTCTATGGCTGGTTCCCCAGTCCGGCCAGTAATCTGCCTTGCACCCTCGACAGCAGCCTCCATGCTGGCAACATTCTTGACAGCGTGGTCCAACGTCAGTTCCAGCTCTTCAAGCCGACGCCTTCGCATTTCATCGTCTCGAATGCCATGGACAAGACAGTTACTGAGGTTGTTGTCCAATAATCTACCAAAACCACGAGGGACCGCCAGCTTCCGCAGTTCCTCGACTAAACCCTACCTTCTTTTTGCGCCCAGCAGTTGGAATGACAGCGCTGCACAATCAAGCATGGTCTTGGAAGGTAGTGCTCCGTGAGCAGCCGCAAGCTTTCGTCGAGCGGAACCTTACTTGGTCTTCTCGGCGCCAGTGGTCTCCGAAGCAGCGAGTACGTTGGCTTCCGCAGGAGCTTAGGAACACCGCACGTTGTTTGTCCGCCGTGACGTCGTAAGTTATGAAGCGTTTTTCCAGGACCTTGACGTATTCCTCCCATCTATCGCCGCCGTCGCCCGCAAACGCTTCCAGCTTCAGCATGGCACCGTTTAAACTCGCGTGACGAAACAATAACAAACAAAATTTACTTTGGTTATTTCTGTTAGTCCTCGTCGCCAAATGTTACGAGGAACGAAATATGTTGATGACATATTGCCGGAATTCGATTTAGTCGTCTTTGTTTATTTTACCCTCTTAACGCAAACAACGAACATCGTGACAGGTATTATTATACCGGTTGCTTCTGCGAAGGCTTTGAAACAAGTCTAAAAATACGGTGTTATATAAAAAAAATTAAAGACGTTTACAACTCCTTTTAATGCCGAATTAGAGCGCAGCTCTTGAGGAGAAGGAAGGGATAGTATGGAAAGGAACGTATGGTCCCTCCTTCTCCTCCATACCCTCTCCCCCTCCTCCCTTCCTCCTCCCCCTCCCTCTGTACTCC